ATGAATGAAAAAAAAAAATTGAATGAAGAAGGATCATGAAAGGCTTGCTACTCTGGGAAATGACTTAGACCCAAATCGGAACAATCATGAGGAGCGGCGAGCAAGGCCATCAGGCAGCATGTTACCTTTCCATGAACACATGTGTAATAAATCATGTTACCTAACCATGATGGTGTTGCCTCATTATTTTATGAAGAGGACAAGATATGATGGATCCTTTGTAAGCTCCGTTGTCGGTTCAAGGTGGTACCAGACTAACGACCCCAGATGGTGGATGCCATTGGTTCATTCCCGTCTATCCCTTGCGTACTATGTCTTATCCCCCTTCTTAAACCGTGACGGAAGGTGGTTGGGGACAGAAGCCAATGGCATTTATCATCGAATCTCGATATTATTGACCAGACCTCACTTTGCGCTACATCAATCTCACATAATTCTTACCCATAATATAGTCTTACCTCGCAGTCAAATATCTTTTTCTCAGATTCCTCGCCATTTTATTTCACTCCATTTATAAGAGTCGATATGCGAGAAACTGCGAGCGGCAGTGCGGCTTCTGCCGTGGCCGAAAACGGTGTCGCTCCACTGAGTGATGAACGAACTCCCTTGCTCAAGGCAAATGACCAAGGTCAAAACTCAGATGCTGAGCCAGCAAGTGAGGCTCAGGGGGATGACCCAAATCAGGGTCTTCCAGCAGGTCAAGAAGAGGAGACGACTGTTGTTGCTGATGAGGTGCCAACTGCAAAGCTCATCCTCATTTTCGGCACTGCTTGGATAGGCGTCTTCCTGGGTGCTGTCGATTCTACCATTATCGCAACTCTTTCAGGACCTATCTCGAGCGAGTTTCAATCTCTGAGTCTTTTGTCGTGGCTTGCGACAGCTTATCTCATCTCCAATGCCGCGTGCCAGCCTATTTCAGGCCGGTTAACGGATATCTTCGGCCGAGGACCGGGTCTCGTTTTCAGCAACATCTTTTTCGCAGCTGGTAACCTCATTTGTGGTCTCGCGCATAGCCAGACCACTATGATTATTGGGCGTGTCGTTGCAGGTATCGGTGGTGGTGGTTTAATGAGCATCTCTACGTTCTTGGGCTCGGATTTGGTTCCTCTACGCAAGAGAGGAATTGTTCAAGGTCTCGGTAATATCTGCTATGGCTCCGGAGCAATGCTTGGCGGTGTCTTTGGTGGTTTAATCAATGATCACACCTCCCAAGGTTGGAGACTTGCATTCTTGATCCAGGTACCGCCTGTTCTCGTCTCTGCCGTGGCCGTTCATTTCTTGGTCAAGATCCCTCCCAAGCAGTCGGACAAGTCATTCCTCGCCCGTATAGACTTTATCGGGGCGTTCCTGACATGCTCGTTTCTGGTGTTGCTACTTTTGGGTCTGAACTCGGGCGGTAACATTGTCCCGTGGACGCACCCTCTTCCCTTGACCACAATTCCTCTGGCTGTCATCACATTTGGTTTATTCTTATTCTGGGAGAGCAAGGCCCGCCAGCCAATCATTCCTGTAAAGCTTCTTCTCGACCGAACTGTCCTGAATGCCTGTCTTTGCAATTTGGCTTGCACCATGGCAGTCATGGGGGCCCTCTTCTACGTTCCGCTTTACCTTCAAGTTCTTGGTAGCAGCGCCACACAGTCTGGTGTTCAGATCTTACCATCCCCAATCGGTATCTCGATCGGTTCCCTCTTCTCTGGCTTCATCATGAAGAAGACTGGAAAGTACACCAGGCTTGGAGTAGCAGGTTTACTCGTACTCATCGCAGGAGTGGTGGTTCTTACCGTCCAGAATCAGTATAGCCCCAAGTGGCTGATGGGTGTTTCTTTCTTTTTGATCGGTTCCGGGTACGGTGCTACACTCACGACGACGTTACTGGCATGTATCGCAGCGGTGGATCACTCTCAACAAGCTGTTATCACATCTGCAACCTGTAAGTTGTTCATGCACACGGTGGTGTTTAACATTGCTAACAAACCCTTAGATCTAGCACGCAGTCTCGGTAGTACTGTTGGAATCACCATCGGGTCGGCTGTTTATCAAAATATTCTCAAGGCACGACTTTGGGAGAGGTTCGGTGACCAGCCTGGCGCTGCAGATGAGATTCGCCGTATCAGAGATGATCTCGATGAGATTAAGCATCTCCCCGAGGGATGGTATGATGGAGTTGTTAGCTCCTTTGTGGATGCTTTCAGGGGTGTTTGGTTGACACTGTTGGCGTTTTCAATCTTGGGTCTGATTTGTGTATCACTCATGAAGCAGCATACGTTGCACTCGACTATTGCGAGACGGTGATTTGCTCGGCAAATATGAGAAGTTATTGCAAGGATGGCATGGAAACTGAATAATTTTATCCAAAGTCTTTTCCAAGGTAGGCACATAATCTGGGCAAAAGGGCGGATGAAAAGTTGAGCCAGGCTGTGAATCTGAGTTATGGAAGACGTATGGACTTGAAAGCAATTTTGCCTCATTTTAGCAACACACATTGAAAGCATACAGCATACAGCATACATTCTGTACGATGATCTCGGGCACCTCTAGATTGTAGTTTAGGAGGGCATGAATAGATAATCTGAAAACTTGACCTCAACTGGCATCATGCACAAAATTGGCCTTTCCTTTCTTTTGGCTTCAGAGTCGAGTTTTCCCCTACACTGAGGAAAGGCCCCCATCCGACTTCTTTCTTAGTTATTCCACTGGAATGCAAGTGTCTTATATTCGGTGTTGAAGAATTACAATGAAACGTGGGCTGTCAGTCAAAATCTTACTTGTCGTCAGAGATCTTCCCCTTTCACCTTTTGAGATATATCACAAGGCAAATGGCTGGAAGGAATGATCGCCGAAAGTGACAAAGTTAATGTCTCAAAACGGTTGGTTCTTCTTGGGTTGGGAAAGGTCATCTACCTATGTTACACAGGCTTCCAGTAGAGCAAGAGATCGACATTTATATCATAATAGATGAAATGTGAGCCGGTTTACATCAATCTCTCCAGCCATATGATCATCATTGCATGTTAGGCTTGGATCTCAACTGTTGATCTGCTCCAGACACCGTACATTACGGTATCTAGATGTACCATTACACTACAAACGGCTGTCCAAGTTCCCTCGATAGCTTGCGGACATTTTCGACCGGAGGTAATTCATCGTTCAGTCACATCGCAGGGAACCTCGACACAGGCGGCCGACAGAGTCGTTAAAGAGCTGCAGCGGTTGTCCAGCTAACAGATTTAGTTGAGGTATGCTATCGACTTTAGGGAACGAAAGGAGGCATATTGAAAGAGGGCTGAGGGTCTGAAAGATGGTAATATTTATGCACTCCTAAGAGTGAGTGCGTGAATGTTGAATTATTGTGTCAACTCCCATGGTATGGCTTACTAGTCCCAAGGCCTAGATCGTGTCCAAGGTTTAAGACATTTGTATCATGGCTTTTTTCTTCAACGCCACCCGGACGCTTTCACCGAGAAGGAGGCTCTGTTCTCGCTTGTTGTAAAGTCTATTGTGCCTCTTTCCGTCACAAAGGCTCAAGAGTCCAGACTGTCCAGAGACAGAATTACTAGGACAATCTATGCCATTTGTGAATAGAATCTTTGATTAGCTATTATTTACACCCTCTTATTCAGAGATTAGCTTTCTTACTGCACGCCAGTAGATAACAGTGAGGCAGAAAAGCGACCAGGCCGGAATAGTCAAGTGATTCGTGGCGTGGTGCGAAGCACAGACGACGGTCTTGTAACGTCTGCTATTTCCTTTAGAGTACTCGTTAGCTGTAGGGCAGAGTGGCAAGATTACAGCATCCGTTGAGTCTAGACGCTGACTTGAAGATGAGTGTTGGTCCCTGATATGCTGATCTTGTAAATCAGATCGTCCAGGTCGTGTTCGTTGGAGATCCCCACATCATATTTGTCTTGGCCTATGTAGAGACACAGTGAAATGATAATTAGCGTTTTGGACTAATCCGTATGAACGCTCACTCATTTCTGCATCGGGAGCATCAAGCCCCCCTGCTACAGGACATGGAAAAGTGATATGGACATCTTGTCTGATGAAGGACCGTTTGAACCTATTAAAATTGTTGCTTAATCAATGCTTTTAGTTTAGTTCAGCCTGTCGCAGATTGGGACAGACAATAGAAGCTATGGCCAGGAAACGGGTGCCCTGTTTTTGTCCAGCACTTGTTTAGCTTCCGCTTTGGCATCTTGACAGGCGCCACACGCACTTTCACTTACGGATATAGACAGGCAAGATGTCCCTTCACTCGTACATTTTGAGTTTCCTTGGGGGGATATGGCTTCACTAAAGAATGCCTCTATCCAACAATAGAGCTGATCTGCAACCCGTTACAGTACGAAAGCCCAAGAGAGTCTAGGCGAGTTACCTAATAGTGATCATCCGGAGAGACATCCGAGAGCTTTCAGTTACAGCATGAACATCAAAAGCGGTCATACTCTAGACTCCGGCATGCGATTGGTGATATCTGATACGTAAAGATGGCTTCATAAGGTTCTGCTTTGTAACACAGTCACCAGAAGACCCGCCTGGAACGGAGGTTTGAGGCCTGCCTATTAGCTGAGATAGGCACCAGATCCGTCGATCGTGGCGAACCTGCAGTCAGAACATGCGTAGTGGTTGTCAAGCAGTCGGGTAGTGAGGCGGCCGACCCTGATCTTGATCCTAGGTAGATGGTCACGATGAAATATGATGAGCCAAGCAAGATGAAAACTTAGAACCCGGATATGGCTGCGAGATCCAAGATAGAGTTGTATGCAAGGCACCATCTGCAAGGACCCTCGAAACGTTGATTCGTTATGTCGCCTCCAGGACCCTGAATAGATCTGCATATAGATATCCATCGTAGATCCTGTCTCAGATGAATCTCGTTTGTCTTACTGACTTTCCTTTGTCCAAATCCTCGTCACTCTCTTATAATGAAACACATCACCATCATACTGCTGTTCAGCACTTTGTGCTTTGCTCAGCGATATACTTATACCACCCGCACAATGACAGAATGCTTTAGTACTACACAGTCAAGCTTCGGTCCTGCGGTACCTACTCAAGGCCAAGACAACTATTACACTGTCGAGATGCCTGAGTGTCAAGACTGTGACTGCGCAGATTGTGCATACACCAACACATATACAACAACACTGGGTGTCTTTGCTCCAACAGGCATCGCGCAACTTCCTTACTCGGTCAAGGAAGTATATCGGGGCATGTCGGCTATGCCAGCAGATGTTACGCCGACTGCTGTCCCATACGGCTTCACTTCTGGCGTCGAGACGTGCAACAACTGTGGAGATGAACCCATCACTGCAACTATGACTTATCCTCGCGGCGGTTCACCTTATCAAGAAAGCGTGCCAACAGCAACACCAGCAGCTGATAGCTCGTTCGAGCCTCCTTCGACGCTGCGCACTGAAGTCGCTGACGGCCCCAAGACTGCACGTCTGGAGAACACTATTCTCGAGCACAAGGCCATCGAGTACCAGGGTCAAGCAGACAGTTCCTCCAACTTTGCCGGGTTTAGCCTTGAGGGCGACTCAGACTCCGACTCTGAATCAAAGAGCTCTGGTGGTTTATCCAAGGACATCAAAAACTATGCCAAGATGAGAGATACAGCACCTTCACGGGACGCTGATGGAGCTGCTATGGGTAGAAAGCCACCAGCTAGAATTGCCATGGCTCTGCTTGTGCCTATAGCGCTGCTAATGTAAGAATATCAAAGAAGAAAAAGGAGTGGAATGGATGGTACTTTACAGGAATGCATTCAGCGCTGGCGTTGCATGATTTGTGCACTTTGGGGAGCGTTTTCTTTGTCAGTTACGATTATCACGGCCGAGTATCACTGAGACAGAACATGATTCTTGGGGTCAGAATGGGAAATACCACATGGATAGCCGGATGAGGTTCTAGGAGGGTATCATAATGATAAGACTGTGTAGATAGTAAGATATAAATAACATGATCAAAAGTTTCTGTAGAAGAATTCTTGCCATTTCGGAGTATAGTAATGTTTGTCAGGTACGGTGAATCCTAAAGAATGTAATGAGTTGAGTTGAGTTGCTGTAGAACTCTTCAGGGAAGAACTATTCCCAGGCTGAGTTTACGTCGAGCGCTTAGTAACCCGACATACATAACAAAGTCATTCGTCCCTTGAAGCTATTCACAGTAAATGATGACAGGAACAGACCCTTGCTTGAATGACAGTTTCAGAGGGGATTAGTTCGGGACCCCAGTATCCGCTATAGCCCCTGGCGTTTAATTGGCGTTTAAGCATGAATTTGTTAATGACAGTTACAATTATTTAATTATCTTCATTTGATCCTCTACCATGAGATATCCTCAACAGGGAACTAATGCGCTGCAAGTCTCAGTGCAACGTCATCCGTGGCACAGCAACCCGTACCATCCGAGAAAAACAATAAAGATGCGTAATCATCGTGGCTGTTCAGATGATGATTATACAAAATGCAGAAAATGCGAATAGTATCGGAATAATTTCAAGGAAGTTGTCAAGTTTTGGAGAAATGAGAAATGAAAAGTGAGAGACGATCTTCTTACCTCAACGGGAATGACATAAAACGTTCCGCGACAAGTCTCTCAGCTAAAGCGAAGAAGCATAAATTTAGATATAATTCGCATCTTGTGTCTTGTCATTGGTCAACAGTCTCGGATTGGTCCCCTAAACTCTTCGCTCATGGCGCAGCTGTGGCATGGCAAGCCCCAGACAAGCCAGGGCAGACAGACTCATTGCAAGGCACTCCCTCTTCAACATGACCAGATAGAGGTGATTTAGGGGGCATGAAAACCCTGAACTAGCGCTGACAGTTCCAACTAGACAGTAATTATGGCGTTTAGATACAACTAGAGAAGGGGGACTTTAGAGTATTTAGGTAGTGATCTTGAATCATGGACATGGACATGGACAAGCCACAGCCACACAGAGAAAGCCCAGCCCTGCTGTTGCAACTAGCAACGCGTAGACAAGCGCTAACCAATCCAACCTAGTGAGATTCACTGTGGGCCCCGCCTATGCTTGGCTTTTCTCCAGCTTGTTCCAGCGAGCGTCATGGTCACCGACAGTGGGATAGATGGTGGCTCTCGCTGGCCAGGGAACCTGTTTCGTCAGGGTTTCCAAGGACCATTGAACTTAATCGAGACCCAGACCCAACCCAACCTAACGTCTAACGCCAACGTCTTTTTCTCAATCAACAACAACAAAACAACATTTCTATTGTCGATAACTCTCTTTGTTCTGTTGCATTTTCCATTATTACCCTCATCTGGTCCAATCTAGCGAGTCCCATCTCCTCCCTCCAAAAAAGCATAGACGACACGGCGGAACCCTTTAACCGATATACCTGTGACGAAACAAGCCCTTGCGATTTCAGCTGAAAAGCCAACAAGACACATCCTATACAACTCGCAGCCTACTCGCTACTTGACTCGTCCAACAGTTACCAGTTCTCCTCTGCTTTGCATTTGCATTCGCATTCGCATCTTCACCTACACGGCACTCATATCAGCCTTCAGTCATGCGGTTCAACATTGATCCCGATATCGTTCCCAACTTGAAACTGGGTCTTCATTCTTTTCAGATCATTCTCTCCCTCGTCGCATGGTGTTTGCAAATCGGCGTCTTCAATGCAAAGGATGCTGAGGTCACGGGCAAGAATGGTTGGGCGTTCGGAGTGGTTAGTCAACATACACCGACCGATTCACCTTGTATCGTGGCCAACTAACGATGAAATCCAGTGTTTCCTTTCAGTGCCAGCTTGGATCTTCCTGATCATGACCCCCCGATGGGGCCGCACTCGACGCTTCGCCCAACCGCATGCCATGCTTGCTGTTGATGCTGCTTTCACCATCATGTGGTTGTCTGCCTTTGCCACTCAGGCTTCTTACAACGCCGCCGGCCAGTGCGGCACTGCCTGCAGCATCAGCAAGGGTGTTGTCGGCTGTGGTGTTCTCGTAACGTATGTTGATCAACTCTGTGTTGATTGAGGCTATTGCTAACTCACTCGGCAGTATCCTCTTTGGTGGCTCGACCTTTGTCTCGCTCTACACTCTCAACTACTACAATAACAACAACGTCCTACCCGGTTACGACAACCGCCAGATGGGCGGCGACAACATTGACCCCGACAAGGCTGCTTTCTCCATGGCTCCTCACGGCGACGAGGCTTACGAGCGAGTTGACATGGACGACCAGGAGCCCGCAGGCAGCTCTTACGGAGGTGGCTACAACAACAGCAGCTACAACAGCAACTCTCGCTACGGCGATGCCAACCCCTACAGCGCCGATGACGATGATCCCGATCGCTTTGGTGCCCTCCCCCCACGAAACAACACCCTCTTCGACAACGACACCCAGTACCACGGCGGTGCCCCTCCCTCTATGCCAGCCAGCTACGCCAACCCTACAGGCGGCCACCCATACGAGGATATGCCCGCCCAGTTCCCCGCCGCCAACTACGATAGGGGACAGTAAATTTTTGAAAGGCATGTAAATGAAATAAAGGATATAGATTGGCTTCTTTGTTTTTATACAATGGTGTTTATTTTGCTTGGTGTGGAAATAGCCTGGGAGACGTCTGCGTCTGGAATGCGGCTCGACATTTTTCTATGGTGGATAACGAACGCTGCTATATGGAGGAGAGGCGTTTAACGGCGTCATGTCATGAATTGCGCAGAAAGAAACAGGGGGACATGTGAGAAATTGCCTCTGTTTGCATATATGAAGTTTGGCACTAGCACGTACACAATACATTCAAGGCACATACGTGTGCTTGTTGTTATCCTGTATATTTTGACAGTATAGAAAGTTCAGTCGTGTAAATGAGGATCCTATATACGACGTCTTGCATTTTTGCCCCCAAGATGTTCAAAACCAACTCCCAACGCCTTCTGTTCTAAGCCAGTTTTGATGCTCCGTACTTAGTGATAAAGCGATTCAGCCTTTTAAGCTCTCCCCGAAAACCCCCTTCTTTTAAAAAGTGCCGTATAATCTCCTTCTTTACTCTTGGTTCTCCTTCTCCATCTTGCGAAGTCGCTTGGCGATGTTCGCCGATGTCTGCTGCATGGGGTTCAACTTGCGATCCCTAGACATGGCACCAGTATCATCGCCGTACTTGGCGACCAGCTTCTCCAACCACTCAATCTCGCGAGCACTCTGGTGTCTCTTCTTGGGCAGATCAGGCTGCTTGGCCTGCTCGAGGAGCTGCTTGACAACGTCTGTCATCTCCTCTTCGTCGGCATTGTCCGCGATACCGCCCCACTCCTCAGCAGGCTTGTCCTCGGCGTCGCTACCCTCGTCAAGGTCGTTGAGAGGATCGTTGAGAGGGTTGGGCTTGGCGGATCCGATGATGCGAATGATCTTGCCGTCGGCGTCACGCTCCACGCGCGCTTCGGAAACGACGGCGTTTTCGATCGTGGCGATGGCGAAGGGGTCGTTGGCGTAGGCGCTGGTTGTGGTTGCGCTGAGCTTCTTCTCTGTTCCGCCAGCGGGGGCCTTGAGACGAGCTACAAGACCGAGCCGACGGTAGTTCTGTGAGAGAGTCTCCTTCTTGTTCCTAGAAGTTTCTGCGTTAGTTTCGGTCTTGCTCTGATGATGCAAAGATTGATGGAACGGACCAGCTCTTAGCAATAGCATCGTTGCCTCGGGGGTTAAGAATCTTCTTGGATCTGTTGAGCTGTCTAACGGGCTGGCGGCCTGATCTGGCCTTCTTCTTTTGGAGTTCGCGACCCATGATTGAGAAAGTTGGGTATTTGTTTAAGAGGGATGTGGTAGATGGATATGGATTGTATCGAGGCTTGCGAGAGACGTACAAAAAATGCCCGCCAAAATTTGATCGCAAATTCTTATCGATAAAAGAAGTGGATATCTCGCTAGTGTCATTTGCCAACCTCTTGGAGACATTAAAAATAAGACAAGGTAGAAATAAAGAGATGTTAATAAGAACTGTTAAAAGAAAACTATATACATATATTTAACTTTATAACGATGTCTTTTTATTTTCCCTTCAGAACTGGTAATCTTCTCTTTGATAGTGTTGCTGAAACTTGATGGCACTGTCTATCTGTCAGGTACTTATATTCTTGTAGGCCCAGCTGTTGTGACCAATGTCTTCTACTTTATGAAGGAGATGAAGGAAAACACGCATTGATGCTACTCCAACTACACATATAGTATTGTTCAATTCATGTTGGACTTTGTCTATAGGGGAATATATATGAGATTAAAGAAGTCAGCCATCTTGGCTCTGCTATGCTGTAATCTCAAGCTGGGAGAGTAAAGACGGGCTTGTCTTTCATATAGTTAAAGAAGCAACAAGAAACTCTTCAGTGCTTTCTTGTTCCATGATTCCATTAGTATTAATTACCTTGGTTAATGATCTAAATTACTAAGGTATAATACAAGTAACAAACATGCGTAACTTCAAACGCAAGCATCCATGTCATAGCATCCCCGCAGCGAATCACCCACTAAGGTAAGGTAGCTAGCTCCCCACGTTCAGCTTTCATATCGCTGCAAGCTGCAAGCTACCATGAATGCTGGACACCAACACTAATATCCACCAAGACCTTCCTAACATTTATTCTACCTCCCAAAACCAGAACAATAAAGCTCTGGCATTCCCAACTCAGGGTCTTGACCTTCTAGCAACTGCATCTCCCAAACTCCAACAGCACCTCAACCGGCCAAGGGCAAACCCTCCCAATGAACTCGCAACTCAACGATCCCGCCGTCCCACCATCAGGCGAGATGGCTAACGAACAATCTGGACTTTCAACCGCTAGTCCACAACCTATTTCTGTATCGCCTCGTACGAGCGATCCTCGTCACCACAGAACCCCTAGTCTGGGCGAGATACATCAAGTTATAGAGGCTGAACAGGAAGGTCAAGTGGTACGACACCATGCTCTTCATGATCATGACAGGCGACTAACCACTTATCTGTAGAATCGCCTCTTGCACATGATCCGACAGCAACAACTAGAGCTCCAGCGCCTCCAAGCTGCCAACCCAAACAACCAGAACCAAGGCTCAGCCGTAGACGACAGTAGCGCCATCGCCGAGCGACCAGGCCATGGAACTCCCCACGCCTCGAGCTCTCATGTGTCTATCCCTCATGTTCCCACCGGTGACTCGGGCTCTCGCTCCAACAGCCATCGTCACCCTCGCAGCTCGTTCGACCTAGCCCGACGCTCGAGAACTCCCAGTCGTAGCGGCGCTTCTCCGAGACTTCGCTCAACGTCCATAGGTGGAAACAGTGAGGACTGGGTCCTGGGCGGCCGGGACGAGAGTGCGTTTTACCAGGCCGAGACTCAGATGCTCAACCGTGAAAACCAGATGCTTCGTAATCGCATCCGAGAGCTAGGTAAGCGTAACATAAAATCTTGGCATTTACCTTTATCTAACATGCACAAGAGAAACAACTGACAGATACCGGAACCGGCTCACCTGTCGCTCACGAGGTACTCCATCACTCACAATCGAGGAGATCTTCTGCAGTGGTGGACAAAGAGGCCGATAAGCCCTCTACTGAAGAGAGTAAGAATACTTGAGATAATTGTACCTCCATACCCTTACTCAGAAAACACACCGAGAGTATTGAGGTTTATCATGGCGTTTAGCGATAAAAGCCCAATCTGGAAGTCGGGCTTGACTCAGGATGGGAACTGATAGGAATGCATATGGCGTTAGTAATTCACATACTAAGTATGTCTATGATGAGCTCGGATAGTGCTTTGAGGGAATAGGATATTCTTGCCAGTATGAATGTGACAAGATGTTACTGTATGGCATTGGACGACTTGAGCGACTTTAGGGTATGAATCCCATGATGAGCGGTTATTCTCTACACGTCCCAAACAAAGTCAAAATATACATAAAAACACCCCAGCCTCGGAATAATACATCTCTTGATAGAAATATATAAGCGTATGTCGGTTTATGGTGAATGTTACCCGTTAATGTTGCGTCATCGGTAATTCGGTGTATATGTTCACTTCGCCAAATGCCTTTGCAAATTCACAACTCAACCTCAACAATACCAACGATGCTTCGTTCTGCAGCACGGAAAATTTCCTCCAACTTCTTACCTTCCCAGAGGCACAACTTCAGCTCAACAACAGCAATCAATGCTGATTTCACTCATGCTGTCAGTCAATCTCATAACATGTTCATTCCCTAATAGACCCCATTTGGCTCATGAGGTTTCAACAGAGAACAAACTTCATTGGGCTTGCCACAATATATTACAGAAGGGATCAAGTAATAAGAGTTAACCGTGTAGTAGGTAATAGGAGGCGGTGTCGTTGGACTTGCTGTTGCCCGCCAACTGGCGCAAAGAGACGGCACCTCGACCGTACTCATCGAGCGCCATGATGCCATCGGCACAGAGACAAGCTCTCGCAACAGCGAAGTCATCCACGCGGGTATATACTACGGACCATCGAGTTTAAAGACAAAGCTTTGCATTCGTGGCAAGAATCTGCTCTATGAGCTTTGTGACAAGCACGACATCGGCCACCGCCGCACAGGCAAATGGATCGTCGCCCAGAACGAGGTCCAGCAAGAAACTCTTGACAAGCTTCACACCCTATGCAAGAACGAGCTTGGTGTTCCGACGCGGTGGGTCAGCGGCGAAGAGGTGAAACGGGATGGTGAGGGTGTCCAGGCTGCGTGCGCGCTCGAGAGTCCAACGACAGGCATCGTGGACTCACACGGCTTAATGTTGTGTCTCCAGGGCCTCTTTGAAGACGCTGGTGGTGTTGTGGCGCTCAATTCACCTGTTCCTAACATCACTCCTTTCGGATCCAAGCCCGGTAGCGAGGGTTGGGAAATTGAGGTCAAAGATACTTCCACCGGTGAGACGTCGAGTATCACGACCGAGACGCTCATAAATGCTGCGGGGCTTGGAGCGGCAGTCATTCACAACATGATAGTACTTCCAGATAAGCACCTGAAGTTGTACTATGCCAAGGGTAATTACTTCTCATATTCGGCATCTCAACCCAAGATCTCACGGCTTATCTACCCAGTGCCTGAGCCTGGCATCGCAGGTTTGGGCACCCATCTTACACTTGATCTTGCGGGTCGCCTACGCTTCGGTCCTGATGTTGAGTGGATTGATGACCCAAATGATCTGGCCGTCAACGCGGAGCGACTGCCGCAAGCCATTAACGAGATCCAGCGTTATCTACCAGGTATTGATGCCTCGGCCTTGGTAGCAGACTATGCTGGCATCCGACCTAAACTAGCTGGTCAAGATGCTGTTCGCCAGGGCAAAGGATTCCAAGACTTTATTATTAGGAAAGAAGAAGGATATGAGGGCTGGGTAAATCTTCTAGGCATTGAAAGCCCTGGATTAACAAGTTCCTTAGCCATTGCTGAAATGGTGCAGAATTTACTGTATGGGTCTATAAAGTCATTGTAAGGATATGTCAAATTTATTTCACTAATTAGTTGTTTCCAATTGACTGCCTCCGGGATTTTATTCGAAATAAAGAGTAGACAGCAGGGAAGTTGACTTGGATAAGAATCGAAAACGCCATAAAGTTCCCATACTCCGGTGAAATGTGCCAATGCGTATAAACAACCATCATTACTGGTCATCATTTTGGTATCAAAACAAGATAGCAATCCCATCACAAGGGCTCTCAAAACCTTCCGTCGTCAAGAGACAAGTTCAGCCAAGCGCCAATTCCAACTTCTCCTTCTCAACTTCACCTCAAAGAAATACTGGGGCAAAACCTTCTGCTTTGCACGTCGACGTGAAGCTCATATATGCCGTTCTGTGCGCCGACAAAACTACAAATCGTTAGCAAAACTTCACAAGACCTTGAGAAGGAAGCACTTACAGAACACGACCATCTTCACTCCAAGCCAGCCCAGCGGTGTTGTCTGGCGAAGGCGGCACCTCGAAAACACCATGGTCCTCCTCCCATCTGTTCACAACTTGATTTACGAGCGGTACTATGATAGTCGTGTCATCTAGGTCACGATCGGCGTCTCGCTCTCGCGCCTGGAGGATATCGAGCACTTGGAGATAGGAGGGGTCTTGTCTCTGACGTTCCCTACTAAGCATCGCCACGGTTTCGCCAAGACTTTCCTGTCGGCGCTCCTCTTCACGTCTTCTTCTTGTGAAGCCTTCGAGGGATTCGCCCTCGGCCATGCCTGTGGGCCGTGTAGCTCGTGAGATCATACCACCAGGACGGAACCGATACCCATTACCCAAAATACCCCCCATCGCGCGGCCAACGCTGCTGCTTCCACGGTCATTAGACTGCTCGGCATTGTCAACGGCAGAAGCATTATGAGCAGGGCCCCGGCGACGGGCCCAAAATGTGGTTGGCCCCCCAATCGGCCTATCCTCTGCCGCCGCCGAAGCTCGCTGGATCAATCTCTCACGATTGGTTCGACCCATCTGCATGGCTTCAAGTACCAACGTCTCACTAGCGGTAAGAGGGGTGTTGAGATGTTCGAGCACGTCGCGGCGTGTGTGATTCTCTGCGGCGCTCGTACCCGCCACCTGATCTCTTCTATCGCGACGACTCTCCAAGCCGCGCGGGTCAAACGCGTTTCGGTCGATGATGTTGATACGCTCGAACACTGGGTCTTCAATATCGACAATCTGGCGAATGACAAAGTTACTTCGCATATCAACAATCCCAACATGTCCTCTATCCTCTGTCCAGGCTAACAAGTCGTACGGGCCAGGACAAAAGGCCATATCTCGGATAGCACCGGGGCCACTGCGTGGGCGGGAGGACTCAAAGGTTGTGATAAGGGGGTCGGCATCGGGATCTGCAAGAAGAGCGGCGTTGAAGATAGAAATTGTACCATGTTGAGTTCCGATAGCGAGGTATGCTCCTGATTCTGAGAAACAGGCCGCGAAACTTCCCCTACTGTCAGTCCTGTCATCTTTTCTTTGACTTTTGAGTAGGATTCGTTGAGTCTGCTCCCATTGGTATGCGACATCATCAGGTGACTTGGTTGCTGGCGATTCAGCAGTCTTCCTTACTCGCTCGTGGATGTACATGTATGGATCGTCAAGAATAGAAATCAGGAACCTTCCATCGGGGGATAGAAGAGATCGATTCACAAAGTCGGGATATGTGATGATATCCAACGCCTCTGTCTTGTCTTTTTCGTCAAAATCACGTAGGCTGACTAGAGTAACGGTCCGGTCGTTATTAGCCAACACTGCTACTGGTTCCCTGTAGGCTTTTGCATTCGCTGGCATTGTCGTGGGTGGAAACCAGAGCGTGATACAGTTCACCCTGTCTTTGGCCAACTTCATACTTTTGGCGATCATGTTCTTTTGGGATCGCCTGGCGCGCGAGATGAGAGAGAATACAGGATCGTTAGGGTGGGCATCGAGGCCGAGATAGAGTCGAGTTTCTGGATCGATTCCAGACAGAGGATCTTCGTTGTCTTCATTTCCTTCATCAAGCCGCATCGCCACGAAGTCGCCACTTTCACTCCCACAACACAGCCATCCTTTTTCAGCAACGAGACATCGCGGCGCAAAAGTCAGGAGTTTGATTGTTTCGCATTCTCGAGTTGATACATTCAGTCGCTGGATGTGATTGCTACCGGTGCCTCCGGGGAAATATACGATGCTTTGTTTCTCGGCGCTAATCAGAGAGCGTAGCTGCCAGTGCCTGTGGACATTAGCTATTTGAAGATGACGGCGCCGGAACAGAATGCATGATTGACGTACTGTGATCGCACGGGTATACGATAATGTCTCCGCGACTGTTTTAGAATGAGAGCCTCGGTTGGGTAAATACTGGGCGATGTCAGTGGTGATGCAAATAATTGAGTCATGATTGATAAGCTCTATGTTCGCTTTCAGGGTCCATGGGATACATACTCGCCCTCTTCTACCGCCATGATGATCCCCGCCGCTCCTCAGAGGGAGCGACAATACACAAGGGCTTTGAGCCGTCCTTTGGGTACCCAGAGAAACGATGTGCTTGTTGTGTTTTGATGTTGGTGATAATATCGTTTAGTTTTGAAGCTTGTTAATTAAGGTAGATGACTGTTCGCGGGGACTGACGGCAATGCGAGCGGTTCAGTGCAAAGCAGCGCGATATGCAGAAACGTATATATTATTCAGGTAATCGGTTTGTTCGATGGTATTCGCTATGGTTTTCGATATTATTGGGGTGTGGTGGAAGAAACGAGGTTGGCAACAATGAGTTGGTTGATTGATTGATTGATTACTGAGATGGATTATGTAGGAAGATGTCTAAATGACGTTGCCGGGGACAATCAAAGTCAAAGTCAACTGGCTAAATGGCGGCCGAGAGCATCCATGGACTTGTCACTTATCCACCTTTATCTACCTACCTAAACAATAGGTACATATCCACTGTACGAGTCTGTTAAAAGGCCTACAACAACTTGGGCCAAACATAATAATTGAAATCATAGTCAAAAATGCAATTTGTGCATATTTCTTCTTCTTATGGGTGGATGATTGAACAGCCGAAAGTTAGAGGTCTAAATGAGGATATTTTTAGAGGATCCCAACTGGCGAGGTAATCTTGATATGAACAAGGGCTCGGTAATATCATGGTTCTTTCGTTCATTTCTGATCAGGTGCAGCTGTTGCCAAAGAAATCAAATCACACCTACTTTATTGGGGGAATTATTAGCGATCATTTGTCAATGTCATTAATCGCACTTGTAAGACGTGATTATGTACAATACATGCGAATTTATCAGAGGGCAGTAATAAAGACATTCACAGGTAAACAAACAGATACAACATCAACACCCTTTTTCAGCTATGTACTATTCCAATTCATGATATAGACTCGTCTCTTTAAATCGACTTTGTACCTCACCATGGTATAAAACTGGTAACAAACCAATCATGATTTCCCTGCTCTTATATCTTCCCAGCTTGTAAGTATCAGCATCTACTTTTCGGAGCTTCGGCCATCAATAAAAAAGGCACATCTCTCACCTTTTGATGCATCAAGTCATAATAAATGACATCAAAAATACCACCCCTCATTGCACTGAGCAGACTCGCATCTGTTCTAGACATCACGCCGGCAATAAAAACAGAAACAACCCCAACATTTATCAAATCTACCATCTTACATGTTCATGCCACCGTCTTGGTTACCTCCTCCTTGTGGGCCGCCAAAGAAAAATGTGTCAAAGGGGTTCAGTTGAGGTGCCTCACCAAAGTCATGATGAAGCCCTTCCCAATTCATGCTGAGTCCCATGTCGAGCTGTGACTGGTCCATGGGGTTGAAATCACCGTTTGAAGACGCTCCCAGATTCTGGAGGAATTCCATGGTCTGTGCATCTGGATAATCCTGCCCATTGAATTGCTGTTGTCCCCCAAATGATCCCCCATTGGAAGGCTGGGAAGTCATCCTTCGAGGAACAGGTGAAGGAATCATGCCTGACTCTGCAGGAGAACCTTCTTGTTTGAGACCAGAGTCTGATGGACTTGGCCCGCCTCTGTTCCGTGATTGCATCAAGTAACCTTCAGATGACCGTGCCATCGGCGGTGATGGCTGCGCATTTCCGTCGCCGGTGGCTGACATGCTGGGAGAAGAAAGGGAGTCGGAGAGAGACAGGTCAATTGGATAAGACGCCTGGTCTGAGCCCTGAGGACGGTGACGTGCTTGGGCAGAGGTCTTTGACGTGTCGGGTGGCGTGTTCCATGCAGAACGCTGTCTTCGGGCCGCTGGTGCACCAAACCCGCCTGTTGAAGAGGTCATCTTAATGGTGGCCTTGGCCGTTCGATCGAATGCATCTCGGCATGTCTCGGCGGGGGGACACTTGTCGATCATGTCTGTGAGAACCGATTTGGCAGCGAGAATAGTAAAGTCCACTTCATCCATGCTCTGGGTCCACTATTAGTATATTTCCCCGAGGACTTTGATTTCGTCTAAACTTACCAGGCGACTTCGTACGATGGGCGAATGCCATATAGCATAAAGGTACGAGATTCCTGCCATGAACAGGTGATGCGTGGAAAGATATGTATAGCTCACGAGCCCGCTAAGGTGAAGTTGTCGATACAAACGAAGAATCTTTTGCCCTGCCTCAGCGACCTTGAGATAAATACGGTCCTCATCTTCACGAAGCTCTGCTTGAAAGGCCGTTGGGCTGTTAACCTCGTTTGATGAGTTGTACTCGCCCTCAAACATAGCTGGAACGCTGAGACTCTGACGATAGAGCATGATGATGGCCTGCCAGTAGTTGAGCTCTAGGAACTCTGTCGAAAACATGACACCAGTCTCCTGCTTCGATGGTGCTGACGTCTTCCATTGATACAGCCTTCGATCGATGTCTATGCGCCACGACCGGAACGAATCGAACTGCACCAGGAATGGCGACGGCAAATGAATGTGCATATCGGGATACTTGCCCTGCACGCCAGCTTTGGCAATCTGGGCCTGGTTATACTGCAACACTTGGAGAATCTCGGACTGCAGCAGTCGCAGGCGGAAGTAATGATGCGCTACATGTTTGTAACTGGGTTGGATCTGGTCGGGCGGTGAATCCCGAAACCCAGTCGGCGTAATATAGTCATCGTCCAACAGTGAGGGGAACTCAGTTGTGATGACCTGATCACTCACGCCGAATGGTCTTCCGACGCATGTGCTGACCAGACGATCTAGAGAGTACGTGCACCACCAGAGACGTCGTCGCATATCTCGAATCCACAACTTCTTTCCACGGCCCTGAGCACCATTCTCTCGAGCACCGTCAGTCTGCTCGGTTTCGTTGGGCCCAGCATCGATTTCTCGGTCATCCTCATAGTGTAGACCGAGATCGACTGCAAGTCGCACAGCAACTCCAATAATGTACCTGGTCCGTGTTAGTCAGGCGAGCTCCAAACACCACATACGATCAATCAGCACATACCAAAGACCAGGGGGGACGGGACGAAGGAGAGCAAAATTGGCGAGAAGAAGTACGGCTTGCAACACCTCCAAACCTCCCCCACTATTGCTCAAGCACGATTCCAGGTGTACAATGGCGCTCGCATGATATTCTTCAGGCTCACAACGGCTCTTGTTGTCCAAACCAGAATCACCGGATGATTCTGTTTTTACTGGCTCGCCCACAATGACACCACAGCCAATAGCGAAAACCATATTCAACAGGTACAATTCTCGCGAACCTCGAGCCGGGTCCTTTGTCGCGTAAATGCGCTCAAATGTCTGCATGAACTCTCCCCTGTGCAAGATAGGGATCTGAGGGTTGGAATGTTCAAAATATAGTCTCACAAGTCGCAAGCCAACCTCCTTGCTGGGGAAAGCAGCGGGCTTGATTGAAGGCCTGGTATGCAGACCAAAGAAGGAATCGCGCAGAGAAGCTCCATTTCCGCTCGGTTGCCTAGGAGCTCTCGAATCATTCGAGTTCGGTTGTCCAGCAGCCGAATATTGAACTGCAGCGTACACGACCCGCGCAAAAGAGACACCGGATGCAGACGCGAGAGAACGAGGTTTCGAAGGGCTCACAATGTTGTTGAGGAAGCCCGCTTGACCTGATTTCTTCTTCAGCGATTCAACTGCTTGAGTCTGGGGTCTACCCATGCCGCGATCGCCAGCTTCTGATGCTGCAGAATATCCTGTTTCGGTATTTGAGTTGATACTGGCGGTGTCGGTGCCTATTCTGGAACACAATTCGAGATTTTCGGCTGGGGGGAAGGCGATGTTGTTGGCATTGAGCAGATTCTCCAGCTGCTCTACTCGAGTCTCGAGGTAAAAAACATAACTGCGCGGTAGGTCAGTCAGTATTCATTCACTTGTTCTTGCAGCAATTCCGTAGTACACGACACCAAATGACTGATAGCTGAAGCTTAGCGCAGCACGTCGGAATTGTCGCGCGCCATCACAAGATCCGTATCGTACCTTCGTGGTATTTCCTTCTTTGTAATGGGATCATAGCCGACACAAGCAACTCCCGCCTTGGCGCAACTTGCGCAGCTCGGAAGCTTCTGATCGCAACGATTCTTACGTAGGCGACAACGGTTACAGGCACTGACGTTGCGAAAGTTACTGCTCTGACCTGCCTTGGCCGTTACTGTTGGAGAGGCGGTGGTGGAAGATGCCGAGGCGGGGGCAGATGCGCCGTCGGCCTGGAGACGTTCACGTTCACGGTTATGAGGGCTCGACTGGCCGTTGCGCGGTGATTCATCGTCAAAAGAGTTTTGTCGCTGTCGCTTTGCAGGTTGCGAGCTCGGAGACGGAGGGCCACGCGCAGGCATTGTGACGGGCCTGGCGGGCAACCGGTGGTGGCGCCGCTTAGGTTTTTTTTTATGTGACGGAGATGGGAAGCGAAAGGCGGAGGTGAGACGTCACAGTGTCAATCGGAGAGGCAGCGTCGGTCGAGGGTTGGTTTCCTTGGAGGGAATTGATTGATGATGGGAAGCTTGAACTGGAGCTTGAAACGGAACGGAGACGGGGGGGTCGGAAAGCGGAGCGGTAGATTGAGTAATCCGGGCCGGGACTAACAATTAACGGAGAATACGGTAAGCACAAAACATGAGCGCCAACTGGAGGAGGAGGCGGCTGAGGCTGAAAGAGGGACGTGGGATGGTTTGAGGATGTGGATGGAAATGAGACAAGATGACGACCGAAAGATAAATGCGGGAAAGGATCGACGGAGCCGAGGCAGCCGCTAACGTATAATAGGTAGACAAGAGCTGTCAGCGCGTGGGTTGTAGTGTAGGTTGATAAGAAAAAAGATATGGACAAATCTTTGTAAGATTGGTCTTTTTCTGCAGGTCTACTGTTCGGTAGTGTATTCAATGGTTGGTTTGCAGGGATTAATCAAGTATTACAGTATAGAAACTACATTGAGTAAGTATAATCAGGAATAACTGTCATGGGAGCGGTACAAGGGAGCTAAAA